ATGTATTGAGGCAAATCATGGCATTACAAGGCATGTATGCTAAGCAAGCATGGTGTACCAAAACCAACTCAACACAATGCTATTTCCTGGCAAAATAAGCATAAATATCAGTCAAGGCATGGTCAACACACACTTAAACTAGATGCTCCCTCAAGAGGCAAAAATAGCCTCTTTCAAGGACAACAAGGAAAGGGGGTGGCCCTCTCGTTCCTAGGACTTCAAGGCACCATCCTCACCTCTGAAATCCCTCAAGATTTCAGTGGTGAGGAGGCCCAAACACAAAGGTCCCGGAACTCAACCAAAATGGCACAAGGCAAAGGCCAAACAAGCCTTAAGAGGAGTCAAACAACCCCAAAGCTTAAAACACCCTTAACAAACTATTTAGAGAAGACAAAAAAAAGACTTTTATATGTTATATGCTAAGCTCAAAAATAGAAGCAAGATAGGCTAAAAAGCTTTGCAAAAATGGGGTAAAAAGGGACAAAAGTTTTACCCTTGTAGACCCTCTTTACAAACAATGTTCCAGCAGCTCTTTTGGTTCCAAACCAGTCCAAAAGCTTCAAGGAAAGACCTCTGGTACCTCAGCAACTAAGAAAAGGTGTGATGGTGGGTGTTTGTGCACAAAAATGAGACTAAACACACACACTAAACTCAAGAGAGAGAGATATAGGGATAGAGGATATATGTAAACCCTAACCCTAAAGCTCAAGCTCTGAAAATATTGTCTAAGTTGTCTAACCCCTGAACAAGAGAGAAGAGGTTCTCTTTTATAGACAATTAGTCTTGTAAAGCTTCCAAAGGAAGCTAACAAGAGGGCAATCCCTCCATACACGTGTATGGTGGGGGTGACAGTGTATGCCAGCTGCACAAAAATATCTGCAAAAGCAGATGCACAGTAGTTGGCCGGCCAAAAATGCAATTGACCAAAAAAAGATAGCCGGCCGGCCATCTATAGTGCCGACCGGCCAAACATTTGGCCGGTGAAAACAAAACACCGTTGGTGGCCTCAAGCCATGGCCGGTGGAGTGTGGGGATGGCCCACAAGCCATTCCCTGCCCCTCCAAGGCAAAGCACAAGTGTTTGGTGCAAAACCAGACACAAAACAGTCGAGTCGAGAGATCCTGAGGCAAGGCACGTAGCCGAGACCTCCGGGAACTCAAGACGAATACAAACATGGATGATCACCGAGTGTTCAAGCGGTGACGTCCAAGTCTTGAGGATAGTCAAAAATAGGGTGTCTACAGGTGCATCCCATTCTTATATCTCGTCTACATTTGCATCGATTTTCGGATTGGAGTTGGTTCAGTTAGCATCTCCTATCTGTGTAAAGTTGCCTATCGGTGGTGAGGTTATTTTGAAGCAAGGGTGTCGGGGTTGCGACATCAAGGTTGCCAGTCACCGATTACCTTTTTCATTCGTATTGCTTGATATGTCTAGTTTTGATGTTATTTTAGGTATGGACTGGTTATCGTCATATCGGGCTGTTATAGATTGCTACCGGCAGAGGGTTACTGTATGTACCTTGAGCAGCGATTACTTTTATATCTTGGGAGACTAGATGGATAGAGTCTTATCACTGGTATATGATCCACGTGGGCGGAGTGAACTTAGTTGCCTTCTTGCTAGATTCTTGAGTAGTGAATGTGATGAAATCCGAGTTGAATTGCCAAGGGTGGTTTCTGAATTCCCTGGATGTCTTTCCCGAGGATCAAACTAGTTTACCACCTCACTGAGAGATCGAGTTCTCTATTGATTTATTGTCTGGCACGACACCGATTTCTATGGCTCCGTATAGGTTTGCACCTGTTGAATTGAGTGAGTTAAAGATTCAACTCCAGGAAGTATTAGATAAAGGTTTCATCCGCCCTAGTACTTCAGCTTGGAGAGCACCGGCTCTCTTTGCCAAAAAGAAAGATGGAGCGTTGCGACTTTGTATAGATTACCGGAAGTTGAACCGAATAACTGTTAAGAACAAGTACCTAATGCCTCGTATAGATGACTTGTTTGACCAGTTGAAGGGGTCATGTTGCGTCTCTAAGATAGACCTCAGATTGGGTTATTACTAGTTGAGGGTAAGGAAGGAGGATATCCCGAAGATGGCATTTCGTACGCGGTATGGCCATTATGAGTTTTTAGTGATGACTTATTAGTCTTTTGAATGGGTTTGTTTCAATATTTAAATTTGGTTGTTTACTGAGTATCTTTGCATGCTGGTGCTCTAATTGATTAGTTATGTATGGTCCACTTCATTTTATTTAGTTTATCTTCCAGTCTCTGCATTTTGAAAGTCTACATTTAAACACTATGTCTAGATTCTTCATTCAAATGGTTAGAGCAATAGGTGTGCATAAAGATGCATATAGAATGCCAATTTTGGTTATTTCTGTTGGTTTTAGATGAAAATTTATCTTTCTATATGTCCTTCGGGCTTGTGATCTTCAATATGTTTCCAGTCTAACAATGAGCTGGTTGTTATTTTTTTTGGGTGTACTCGTGTAGTTTTAACTCTGAGAGTTGAGTGATAGAGTATTTGTGCCTAGTCAACAGGTTTAAGCTTAAAGTAGTAATGCTTCTTCATCTTTCTCTTTGATCTTTATTATTCTGTTGGAGGTTGGATAGCTTGTTTTGATTTTTCAAATTTTAGAGCATTTTTTAATTTCATTTAAAGGTGATCCCATTCTTTAGAAATTCCAAATTGAGTTGAAAAGAAAAGAATATACACTCTTTTCTCAGTTAAGATTTTTATATTGGGGCCTAGTCTTGAAAACAAATTTTAAAAAAAAAATTGATTTCATCACATTGATATGTGGAGCCCATGGTGAGGGTATGGAATAATCAAAATGCAAGTGGTCTATTAGTTACTGTGAGAATAATATTAAGCTGCAAGTGGTCTATCAGATGTGCTTTGTAGAAGACTATAGAATTTGATTTAAGCATTGGTTTTTCTGTGCTGCAAAAATGATGAATGTGTATTTTCTATATCAAAATTTCTATCATTTCTTATGTAATTTTCTTAACAATAGATTCGAACCTTATAGCGTTCGATAAATAACAAAATTGAATAGATTATATAGCTGTTATATAGCTGTTCAATCTAATCCTTTATTGTTTATATAGCTGTTATGTTTAGTGAGTTAATCTTTTTTTTCTTTTTTCTGTTCGATGAGATGCTCATGATCGAACAGATTAATGTTTTTGATCTTTTCATTTGCATTGTTCTATGGCACTTGGAGGCCATAGTTCATCTATGAATGTTTTTCTTGGAAACCTGCAACAAGAATGGTTTGTGACAACATTTGATTTTCCATATTGGAGGCCATTGTTCATATCTTTAATTGTGCCACCAAAATTCTCAGTATATATCTTTCAATACTCTATATATCACTGCACTTCGACCAATACTAATTTGTCTCTAACTATAAAACATGATAAACAAAATTTTTAATCATCTTATAGTTTTCAGATCTTCAATTGTCATTTAGTTCTGTTCATTATGCTTAATTGGGCATTACTATTGTTGTTGTAATATATATTTGTGATTGTAGATTAGGAGAAGCAGAAAAGGCAATGTATCACTATAAACAAACTGGTGCTGAATCAAACCCTAATGTCTTGACTAAAGCTAAAAATCTTCAGGTTCATCTGAGTAAGTGTACTGGGGCCAAGATACAACGAGATTGAAACACACTATTGAAAAGAACCAGGCTTGCCATATCAGCTGGTGCTAATTCTGCCCCATAGGTTAGCTATACACTTCAATATCAGCCTTTAAATGTTATGTTCTGTTTTCAAGGTTTGGTGCCACAGCTATAGGCTTGAAATTGACATGAGTGTTTTGTTTTGGTTCTTGGTAAGATTTTTGCATTGCAAGTTGAGGCCTTGCTGAAGCTGCATAGGCTTCAAGAAGCAGATGAAGCATTGACAAAGAGACCAAATTTTGACATGGATGATCACACTCAATTCTTTGGGCCTATTGGTCATTCAAGTCTGTTAGTGTGTTGAAGACGCTAATTGTGTTTTTTTAAGAATAGTTCAAAAGGTAAAAATTTATGGATAAAGAAAAGAGAGAAAAAGTTGCAAGTGATCAAAAATAAAATGTATACGTGGATAAGATTAATTTGGAGTATGACTCTCACTCATGATTTTTTATATTCATAGATGCAGTATGTATTGGGTTTAAGCCTTTTAATACCAGAATTAATAGAAATGAAAATCATATATATTAGCCAGTTTGCGATACGTATATCGGTTTATAATTGATTCATGATTTGGTTCACAGTTGATACAATTGGTTCATGATTGATTATAGTTGATTTAGCTACTATAAAAAAAAATTTGCTATTGGTGATTTAAAAATAAGTAAAATAAAATTCACAATTGTATCATCTGATTCCGGATACATATTGCTCAACATTTCTAATACCACAACCAATAATTTGTCTCTTGCTACCACTATTCACAAACCTTGATTCTTCATCACACAGTTAATTTTCTAACCACTTCACTATGCAACCTTCTACGCATATAAATTTGTCTAGTGCGAACATGAAAACAGTTGACATTTTCAAGTATATTTAACATAAAAAGCTTATACTATTACTTTAAACTTGTTTTTAACTTTGAATTGTTAAGCCAAGATATGGGTTTTTTAATATATATAGGCAATGACATATGTTGGCAGATTTGATGATGCGGTGGCAGCGGCTCAAAGAGCAGCACGACTAGACTCAAGCAGCAAGGAAGTGAACATGATGGTTAGGAGGACACGGGCGGTGGCAATGGCTCGATCCAACGGTAACGATTTGTTCAGGGGATAAAGATACTCAGAGGCTTGTGTTGCATATGGAGAGGGACTCGACCATGACCCCTACAACTCAGTGTTGTTGTGCAACAGAGCCACTTCCAGGTCCAATCTTGGTCAATTTGAGAAAGCAATCAAGGACTAGACTGCTGCCCTTAATGTGCGCCCATCTTACAGGAAAACCAAATTAAGAAGAGTCAATTGCTATGCCAAGGTAACTAACTAACTACTAGTAGCCTATCCTATATGTCTATTTGCTGCAACATTTGTTTGAGTTTTTTTGATATTTATGAGCAGAATTTAAAAGGAATTGAATGCTCTTCGCACTATTAGAAATATGATGGTCTAAGTGCTTCATGTTTTACATGTTAATGCATCCTTTTTCTATGCTTGAAAATAGGTTATGGCAAGCAAGACAAAGATCTACATTGTGCTCGAGTATGTTGGCGGGGCGAGCTTTTTGACAAAATAGTAAGGCATTGCTTTTTCAGCTTCTACTCTCTGAGCACCTATAATTTCATTCATGATATAATCAATTGTGTAATGCATTACATCTTAATTTAGGCATTTGCTCATGTCATGCTTACCATTTTGTTGTGGTAATGTGTGTTCTATTGAGGCTCATTTATGTAAATCATGTGGGTACCAAGTCTTGTATTTGTCTAATAATATTCCCCTATTGACCCTTTTATAACTAGGCCAAACTAGGAAGACTTAAAGAGGATGAAGCTAGGAGATATTTTCAGCAGCTCATCAATGCTGTAGACTACTGCCACAGTAGAGGCATGTACCATAGAGACTTAAAGGTTTAACAAACTTTCTTACATGTTTCATTGATTAATTAATGTATTTATTCTAATTTTTTCCTATAAAAAAGAATTTATTATCTAACAGTAATTTGGGTTCTTTGGCTATCTATTCAACCATGACTCTGAAATTTGCATTACCCTGCATCTTTTGCAGCCCGAGAATCTGCTTCTAGACTCATTTGGTGTTCTCTAGGTTTCAGACTTTGGATTGAGTGCATTTTCCCAGCAAATGCGGGTAAGTATTATGTGAGTTTGCGACAATTTCCTCATCTAAGAGCAGATTTTTAGTAGGTGGGTGTTAATAAATTGAATGTTAAATTTTTAAAAGTGGTTGCAGCACTGAGTCAATTTTGCAGTCTATTTGGTTTACTAAAATCACCTAGTCCAGAAACTACCTTTCCGGCCAGGAGTAATGCCCTGCTCTGAAAGGAATTCCTTAGGAATAATGTGGCCATTAGTTTTTCTTCTGTCCTTCAGTGGCTTGTTCATTTCTTGTTTCTATTAATTTGGAAATGAACTTTTTTTTTATGATTTGTGTCTTTCCTTTCCCTCTTTTTATATTAGTTTCCCCAAATCAAGGAGGCAGTTTAGTTTTATTAGTTGACTTCTTCATAAGATTTTGTATCATGCATCATCTAGATTTCAATACTTTGAAAACATTCAGTGACCATTTTTTAAGACTTGATCTAATCCACATTGAGGTTATATGATCTCAATGTCATTCAGACACATAAGTTATGGATTGCCTTAAACCTAACCCTCATTCATCAATATAAGTTAGTGTTGTGCATTGCTTAATCAAAGACTGACTACCTTTTTTAACTGTAGGAAGACGTACTGCTTCACACTGCCTGTGGAACCCCAAATTATGTTGCTCCTGAGGTATCAATTATGATGTCATGGAAATGGATGGTCGCTTTGATGCAAAAAAAAAATTTCTTTTCTTATTAGTTTCTTGCATTTGTGATACTTCTTTCTTTCTTTTTTTTCCCCTTTCTATCAGGTGCTCACTGATAAAGGTTATGATGGTACAACAGCTGATATATGGTCTTGTGGGGTCATTCTGTTTGTTCTTATGGCTGGATACTTACCTTTTGACGAGCCGAACCACATGGCTTTGAAAGCATTCAAGAACTTAGTTTTTCTAAGTGTTTTTTATTTTTTAATATATGTAATCATAGTTAAATTTTTTTTTTTATTAATTTCTTTGTATATACTTTTGAACATTTAATTTTCATTTATGAAATATATGACGTTATTTCATTCAATATATGGTTGTGATTCAAAATATAGTATATAGTGTGTATTACATTATTCAAATGTGCATACAAAAATAATAT